GGTAACTTGGGCAGCTGCAATTACAAGTGGTAAACAATGCAACCATCTATGCTAACATCAAGTTGGGTAGTTGCATGTTAGTTCTTCAGATGACCTTAGCTATGTATCAACTTACACCATGCTGTAACCAAAGCTGGCCAGCTTCAAGTTTTCTAACCCAAAGTCGCTCCGCCAGTATATATTTGTATCAGAAAAGAGAATCTAGGCGGTGCAATCTCTGTGGCGCAATTAACTTCGACTTCCTCGGGCGCGACAGCTGCGTATGCTCGCGCAAAAATTCCACCCACCCGCCCGCCATTTGGTTTGCAAAACCCATGCGGCTGCGACTACGATGTTTGCTGGGCGCCGGCTGCTGCATCGCTGCGCCCGCGTTAGCACGCGCAGGCTCGCGAGTAGAGCGGCCAGCTACTCTGGCGCGACCGGCGCGGCCGCGGTGGCGCTGACCGTTGGAAATTGCCGAGCGCGTCCCGCGGGCACGCGCTGACGCGTGGGCACTTCAGCAGTATGATGGTACCAGCGACGATGCTGACGATGATGGCGATGACGACGGCAAGGCCAACGACGGCGCCGATGCTGATCACGCAGCGCCGATGGCGATGATGGTGTCCTCGCATCGGTGGCGAAGGTGTTGGAAGGATTTCGACATGCACGCGCGGTCGACTCGCGCGAGTGGCCACCGCGAGATCATTCGACATACGCCGCGCCCCCCAGCACGCGCGCAAGGGCGACCGAATGGTTTCGACATGCGCGCGCGGGGGGCACGTTTGACAACATGTGATGAGCATGTTGAACATATATGGTTTTCGCAAGACTTCGCAGGGCCGCTGGCGCAGGTTCTGTTGAGCATTCCCGTCGCGGAACCACTGCGCTTATATGTTTCAAGACAATCGATTTTGAACCCCGCATGACACAAGAGGCTCTTGCATGATTCCTGCATGCGGGCGCGACGACGCGCGCGCACTTCGCCGCATTTGTTCCGAGGGGTTCTCGCGACAGCCCGTGCGCGAGGGGATTAGAATGATCTCGACATGCGCGCGCGAGGGGCACGTCCGGTCGCAATTGATGAACACGTTGAACACCGTTGGTTTTTCGCCACAAGGATTCCCACGAGTGCGAACGCAGGCTTTCCTGAAAGTGCCTGGTGCAAATCAGTGTGTGATTTATCTGCCCCCGACGCGCTCGATTCTGAACTGCACGCGAAAACTGAAGCGGTCGAAAGGATCCGTCATGCGTAAACCTGAGGTGGTCCATGAAAACCTGAGGTGGTCCATGCGAAACTTGGGGCGGCGCCAAAGTCCGAGGGCTCTTGAAGCAGGACCTTTGTAGATGGAGAAGCGCGCGCGTATGGCATTTTATTTTCACCAAGGGATGAAGTGAGGCCAAGACGTGCGAATGCATTTTCAGAATGAACAGTGCGGCAGAAGCGCGCGCAAGTAACACGTCCCAACGGCTGGCGCCCACAACGGCCAATTATTTTGGCCGTGCCCACAACGGCAGAAGCGCGCCCAATTAACACGTCCCAGCGGGCACTTCCGCGCGAGTCGGTAAGCCGGGCGGGCGCGGCATCATGGCGACGTCGACGACGGCAGACACGATGATGACAATAGCGGAGATGGCGACGATGATGACGATGACGACGGCAATTTCGACGATGGCGCCGATGCCGATCGCGCCGATGACGATAACGGCGCCCAAGAAAAGACGATGCAGCTTCCGGAAGGAGTTCGCCGCGCGCGCGCGATAGACACGCGCGAGCGGCCGCGCGGAATCAGTTCGCAGAGATCGCGCCCCCCCCCCCCCTTTCCCACGGCGCGCGCAAGGGCGTTCGGATGATTTTTACATGCGGCGTGGGAGAACCGCTTGGTCGAATTCGATCAAAACGCGGTAAAACATGGTTTGCTTTCGATCTCTGGATGCATCGCAATGTTTTGAATATGTTTTCGGGATACTCCACGTTGTCGCCCTTGCGCAACCTGCGCCCGTGAAATAATTCTGCGCGCGCGAGCGAGCAACGCGCGCTTGCACCTCGTCGCATGCTTTGGAAAGGATGGCTGCAGCAACGCGCGCGTGAGGGCGTCCGGGCGATGTCGACAGGGGCGCGCAAAAAGGCAAGTTTGGTAGCATGTACTGGACATGTTGAGAATCCCTGGACTTGCTTAAGAATTGGCAAGTGCGCGAGCGCATGCTCAACAACGGCTTTTCGCGTTCTTTCAGGGCGCTCCATTGTAAACTCTTCGACACCTTAACCTTTCGAGGTTGCGGCGCCTCGCGCGCGACGACGCGCGCGCGTGCACTTCGTCTTCATGTTCTGCGCGGGCTTCTTGGAAACGTGTGATTTTCGGTCCAACGAAGGCGCGCGCATATTCGGTGTTGCATTTTTGTTTTGGGGGGGGGGGGCGATGGGGGCCCTCTGGGGGCGGTGCGAAATCTTACTTAGCATGGGCAACGTCACATGCAGACCACACTGCAAAACAGGCGATCCGTTCAGTCCGGGGAGGGGGGGGGGGGGGACATGCTGCACTGCGCAATGCGATGCAGGTTTCAAAATATCCACGCGGTGCACTATGCAAACAAAAACACACACACACACACACGGCGTTGTCAACTCCACTGCTCACGCAACCATCTCGCCCACACACCTGCCCGCAACTTAGCTTGCAAAACCCACGCGGCGGCCATTGCGATAAGTGCGCGGCGCTTGCTGGTGCATCTCCGCGGCCGCGCTAGCCAGCGCGTGCTTGCGCGAGCAGCGGCCCGCCAGTTTGAAGCGACCGAAGTGACCGCGGAGGCGCTGACGGCTGGGCGTTCCCCAGCGCGTCTCGCAGGCCCTGCTGACGCGTGGGCACTTCAGTGCGACTCGGTGACTTGGGCGGGCGCGGTATTGTGGCGACGTCGGCAACGGTTGCCGCGATGGGGACAGTTGCGGTGATGGTGACGATGATGGTGACGATAGCAAGGCCAATAGCGCCGCCGATGCTGATTGCGCTGGCAACGAGGATGGCGCCCTCGCGACCGCGATGAAGACTTGGAATGACGTCGGCGCGCGCGGCCGATGCGCGCGGATGGCCCGCGCGGTTTTATTTGACAGGGATCGCGCCCCCCCCCCCCCCCCCCCCCCCCCCCGCCCCTTCCACAACGCGCGAGCAGGGGCGTTCGAATGATTTCGACATGCGCGCTCGAGAGGCCCGCTTGTTGGCTTTTTATTGTAGGTGTTGCGGTCGAACTCGCAAGTGCGCGAGCGCGCGCTTTGGGGGGTAAATACCCGTTGCAAGAACTCCCGCAGATAGTCTGCCTCGACCGACGCGGCCGCGGTGGCGCAGACCGCTGGACATCCCAGCGCGCCTCGCAGGCCGCGCTGAGGCGCGGGAATTTCAATGCGAGCAAGTGGCTCGGATTTGCGCGCGCCTGGCGCGCGCGAGTGCCCCGAATGTTATGATTTGACGAGGGGCGCGCCCCTGCCCCCGCCCCGCAGCAAGCGCGCAAGGGCTTTCGATTGATGTCGACATGTGCGTGCGAGAGGCGCAGTTGGTAGCACTTGGTGGACATGTGCAAGAAAACCGTCGGCTTCGCAGGAGCGCGAGCGCAATTTGTTTTGGAAATTCCTGTTGCGAAACCAATAAGTTGGTTTAGCGTTTTCGGGGCGCTCGATTTTGAGTGAGATCCTTGCGAAATTCTGAAAGTTCTTCATTTGTTCTGGCATGCGCGCGACGACACGCGCTTGCACTTCGTGTCATTTTCTCGTGCAAGAGGTTCTTGCGACAGCTCGCGCGCGAAAGGCGTTCGAATGACTTCGACATGCGCGCGCGAGGTGCACGTTTGGTCGCATCTGATTTATTTGCTGCGAACTGATATATCTTGAATCTGCAAGAGCGCGAGCGCAGGCTTCTTTGACAATTCCTGTCGCGAGGCCACTGATGTCATAGATGTTTTCGGGACCATCGATTCCGATATCCTTACGGCAACCAGTTTTTGCTGAATGGTTTCGGGATGCGCGCGCGCGACTGCACGCGTGTGTGCACTTCGCACCGTTGATTGTGCAAGCGGCTTCCGACACAAATCTTTGAAGATGGAGACGTGTGCGCACATAGCATGTCTTGCAAAGGGTGAAGGGGGCGATACCACTTTGGCGGAGATCGTCTTAATCTGTATTTTTCGTCAACGAATGGGGCAACATCGTATGTAATTTGCACCTCCCCAGGGGGATTCAACCAGCATCTGGGAGGTGGCGGATGCCAACTCATTGTAAAAAAGGGGAACCGATGCGATGCGGTGACGAACGCGGCGACTGCGACAATATAGCCGCCAGGCCGACGGTCAGGCCCCGACGACGAACGGCGACGAGGCGGCGACGGGGCGGCGGCGGCAACAGTATAGCCGCCACACCGACGGTTAGGCCCAGACGACGGGCGGCGACGAGGCGGCGACGGGGCGGCGACGGCGACCACGGAGCCGCCAGACCGACGGTCAGGCCCACACAAACTTGCACGATCCTTTACATGCACGCACTGTTCGGGGAATGAGAAGAGGCATGCGAATCAGAAGAAGAAAACGAGGAAGAGGGGGGCCATGAAGTCCGAGGAGGTGTCATTGCGCCGGCCTTGATTCCCCCCTCCCCCTAAGTCCTCACCCCCATCTTGGCCGCCCTCGACGGGCGTGGGGATGGGGACGGTGGTGGGAGCGCGCCAGGGCGACCCCCTCCCCAGCACGGCCCGCCCCCCTCCCGCCGCCGAAGCCCCCCGAAAGCCGCCGATGGCGACCAGAAGGCCGCCCCCAGCCGCCGCAGAGACCTCCGAAGGCCGCCGACGGCCCCCACACCGCCGCCGCACCGCCGCAGACGGCCGCCGCAGGCCGCCGCCGCAGGCCGCCGCAGGCCGCCGAGGGCCGCCGAGGGCCGCCGAGGGCCACTGAGGGCCACCGAGGGCTGCCGCGGGCCGCCGCGGGCCGCCGAGGGCCGCGGGGGGCCGCCGAGGCGGGGCGGGGGCGGCGGCCGAGGCGCGCGCCAGCGGCTGCAGGTCTGCCCCGCACACCGTGGTGGCGGCGCGGTGCACCCGCAGCGCGGGGGGGTCGTCGAAGGGGTCGGGGCCCAGCCAGCGCGGCGCCGAGGCCTGCGGGTTGCGCGGGCTGCGGGGCTCCGAGGGACTTGCCCGTCCTGTGTGTCTGAGGTGGCAGCGCAAGGCGATGCCGAGCACGGCTTTGCCTAGAATTGCCTCGCAATGCTCAGAAGACAGCGTTGAGCTGACCCGGAAGAAAGAATGCCGCCACATGGGGTCGCGCCAGGTTCATTGTGTTGGAGTTGCTGTTGCCATCGTGGCGTGTTCCTTGGTTTCGGCACGCATGCAGGCCATTTCCGGGCCCCGTGGCCACCGGGAGTGGATCGGGGCTGGGGGCTTGCCCCACGTGGAATCGGTCGGGACCTCTGGGGCCCGCGGTCTTAGAATCAACCCGTCGGATGTCATGGGTGGAGGGGCTCCCCAGACATCCGACGATGTGATCTTGTTCAGTGTGCGGCCCCGGAGGTCCCGACCCCTTCCCTGGGGACAGTTGCTCGTCCCAGGTCCGTGGTTAATAGCCTTATGTCGGGCCTGTCCCGCTACAGGGGGATCTTGGACGAAAAATCTGAAATACCTAACAAATACCCCCAAAAGGTCAAACAATGCTACCAAAAATAGTCCCCAGACTATTTTTGGATATTTTTGTCACTATTCTTGGGGTCTTGTTTTATTTTTAGTCGAAAATCCTCCTGTAGGGGGACAGGCCCGACTTGATAATAGCCCCGGGGGCCAAGCCGGGGCCCCAGCGGTCGAACTCGGGGCAAGCACGCACCTACTGGAAATGACGTGTCGTCGGAGCTCTGGGTCCCAAGAGGCCCCCAAGAGGCCCCTAGGAGGCCCCAAAGAGGCCCCCAAGAGGCGCTCGAGGGCCGGCGGAATGAGCGAAGCGATTAATTAAGGTATCGTCGGAGCCCTGGGTCCCAGACCTCCCAGGAGCATCGAAGCTCCAAGCTCGGGGCCGCTTCGGGCCTCTGTGGAGCTCCTGGGGCGCGCCCCCTGTGGCCACGGCGGGCAGGGGGGGCATCAAAAACACGGAATCGGCGACACATCGCCGATGGCTCGGCGATCGGCTCTCGACGGCTCCCGCGCGGGGTGGGCCGGTTACCGCGCGCCCCTCTCGACGACGACGAGCGGGCGGTCGGGGGTCGACGCGCTTCCTCCCCGAGCGCTGCCCAGCTCAGCGAGGCCGATGCCCCCCCGAGCCCACCCGCCCCCGATCCGGCCCCTTCGAGCCAAGGGCCTCTGCATCGTGCAGCGCCCGCGGTCTCCTCCTCCAAGGGCTCCCAACTTCGCGCTGCGCGCTGCGCGAGAGCGCGAAGTGCGCACAGCTTCGCGCTCTCGCGCCGCCTCCCAGGGGAGAAGAGGAGGATGAGGAGGAATCGGAGCCGAACCGCGAAGAGCGCGAACAACCTCGCGCCCTCGAGGGCGCCCCTGTTCTCCCACCATAGACCCTGGCCCCTGACGGCGTGCCTCTGTTCCAGCCGCGTGGACCCCCTGGAGCTCCGGACTCCTTCCCCGGGGCAGCCCGGATGGCCCCGTGGCCCGACGAGGGGGCCCCGAGAGGACGACGATGACGACACGAACGCCTTCGCGAGGTTCGTCACTGCGCGGAGGCCGCCAAGAGGAGAGGGCAGAACAGAAACCACGATGGGCCTGTTTTCCACCACCACCACCACCATAACTTGGAGGGGGGAGGGGGTCCTCCTCCCCCTCTCCATCTTCATCCCTTCCTCATCCTCTACCTCCTTCCCCCCTCCAACGTATGGTGGTGGTGGTGGTGGTGGTGGTGGTGGTGGTGGTGGAAAACAGGCTCATCAAAACACCCTCACAATAAACACCCCGACAAGCGAAGCTGGTTCGCAAACGCCCGCAAGGAAGGAACCGAGGAGGACGGGGCTGCTCAGTTAACACCCAGGGCCGTTGTTGAGTAAACGCAAGTCTGGGGGGCGGGGTGGTCTTCACTCCCCTGGAAAGAGGACCCCAAGAGGCTCCTTCGGGACTCGACCTCGTCGTCCCCGTTCCCCGCCGTCCTCGAGGCAATGGTCGGGGGAACTCGTTGCCCGACGAAGGCATCATGAAGATGTCGACCCAGTCTGAAATTTGACTCCCGCCGCAGACATCCCACGAAACCTGGACCGTCCAAATCCACAGCGCGCTCGTCAAACAAGGGCTCCCAACTTCGCGCTCCGCGCTGCGCGGAGCGCGAAGTGCGAATAACTTCGCGCTCTCGCGCCGCCTCCCTGGAGAGAAGAGGAGGATGTGGAGGAATCGGAGCCGAACCGCGAAACGCGAACAACCTCGCGCCCTCGAGGGCGCCCTTGTTTCTCCTTTCCAAAAAAAAGGTAGACTCTACCCCCCCCTGGACTTATCGGCCCTCCCTGGGATAGTATGATTTCAAATATATTCTGCACACTCGTCCATTCTAAATATGAAATCATACCATCCCAGC